AATTGTTATTTTTTAGGTGTGGTAATGGTACAGTGGTTATGTTTTTTAATGAGTCCTTATCTTTTAGAAATTCATAGAAGTTAATACATATTGATAATTGGCTTCAAAAAACCTGAAGCTAAAGTAGGTAGCTAAGAATAGAGATAAAATAAGATGGGTCATAAATTAATAAATTCCAAGCTGGGTGGTAAATTTTGGGGGTTCATTATATCATTCTCTCTACTTTTTGATTTTGAAATTTTTCATAATACAAGCTATGAGAAACTCATATTATTTCTTCCCTCCTCTTTTCCAAATCAGGTTCTCATTTTCCTTTCCTAAAATATTGCCATAATAACTGGTTCCATCAGCCTGAATTTTCACCGCTAAGATTCACCCAAAACAAGCTCATTAGATGCATCCTTTTAAAATCTTAAAACACAACTTTCCACAAGTAGCTACTTTGTTCAAAACTTGTGATTCTCCCCTTTCCTCAAAATAAGTAATCATAAGGTTATTCAAAATAAAACATCATTAGTTTGACATCAAAGACACCTTACAATCTGTTTCCATCCAACTCTTTGAATACTTCTTTTACTTCTCTTTATGAACTGGATGCTTTAGTCAAAGCAGTATTTGTGCACCTGTCTACTTCTCCTTAAAGTAGATGTGGAAAGTCCTCCTCTACCTTTACTCTTGAAATGCCCCCCGGTCTGAGTAGTTGTCTTTCTTCTGTAGGTACCTTAATTTGTTTCTTCCTAAAAGGCCTATTCAAGTTTCACCTCCTCCATGTAGCTTTTCCTAAAGGCTTTTTGACTATGGTCAAATCTCTCTTATTTGAACTCCAGTAGTGATTACTTTCCTGTAACTCATTTTATCACATCACTCTACATGGCTGGTCCATTTTTAATGCATATACTGTACCTCTTTGATGTCAGGGACTGTGCCAGATTTTTATGTATTCGAGCACATATTGCAGTGCCTTATACATAATGATTGTTAAATACTAAATGTTTGTTGATGTTGTTGCTGTCATTGCTGCCATTATTATCGGTGGTGGTGGTGATAATTATAAAATACGTTCACTTGACAATAATTGTCAGGATCCCAAAAGTTCTTGATTGAGATGACCTTGGACCTAAATAAAAACCTATGACTGGGTTGGAGAGTATTGACTCATAAAACTGAAAATTCAACTTTCCTGTGGTCCTAGAAGTACTCCAATGTGTCCCTATAACTTAGTCTTGTCAATCAAGATGGTTTAAAACATATAAGCAAACAAAGAGAAAGAAAATCCAAACAAAAACCTATTTTGAAAATCCTTCATTCACTTTATACTCCATAGAGAAAAAATTAATAAATATCTTGATATAGCATGGAGGTTTACAATTTGCCCTAAAATCCAGAACCAAATTTCATTCTCATTATTTTCCTCTATATACTGGGGTGCCAAAAAAATGTATACACATGACTTGTATTTATATTTTGTTATTGGTATATATTTAAGTATTACAATTTTAATACAGTATTTTTCTTTCTTAAAATGTATATACATTTTTTGGGGGCTCTCTCTCTCTCTCTCTCTCTCTCTCTCTCTCTCTATATATATATATATATATATATATATATCTGCTTCAGTTAAAATAGTCTAATTTGAAATATCTTTGGAACTATTCCTCTTCTATCTATTTCCATTAAAATTACTTAGTTTGGAGCTTCATAATTTCTTGGATTGTTTCAATTCCTTTTGTAATTGACCACCTGGCCTCCAGGCATGTTCCCTTCCAGTTAATTCTCCACCCATACTTCACTGAAGCCCAAGCAGGATTTATCCTGCTTAAAATTCTTCTATGACTAGTTTAGCTATAAAGGCTAGATGCATTTATGTGATGTACAGGACCCTTTATGATATTCACTTTCATTACTCCAAGTGCCTGCTTATGTGCTAGTGGCTTACTACTATAAAATGGTCAAAACTCTAGGTTATGACCTGTCCCCACGAGCTTATTACCTAAAGGGGGAAAAGGGGAAGGAATCAACACACAGAAATATATGATAAAGAACAACAGCTATGACAGAAACAAAATGCCACAAGAAGGAAATTTAGGGAAACGTAATTTAGATTGATCACAAAAGACCTTTCTGAAGTAACATGTAAGCTGTTTCCTTCATGTGGGGAAACAGTTACTTGAGATAAAGTCTGAGAAGGCTCTGAGGCTAGAAAGAGTAATGAAGTTATAAAATATACCATCTGTTTGTGTTCATTACCTGCTTGATATATTATTTTCTAGAAAAATCAATAGTAGGAATGCTCTCTATATAAATTATAACCCTTTGTATTGTACACTGTAAATATTTCTATATTCTGCCATGAGTATTTTATTCTTATAAGTATTTTTTCTATCAAAAGTTTAAAATTTCAGCAGTCTTGATAGGTTTATGGCTATGTGTTTCCTGCTTCCTCCACCACAAGATTATTAAAAATATTTAGATATATTTTAATTTCTACTTTTATAGTTCTCTTTAATCCATCTGATTTTATTTTTGACATAAGGTGTGAGAGGGGAACTGTTGTTTTTTAAGTGGTTAGCCATTTATTGAATAACAATGATTAGCATTTATTGTAGTTTACTATGAGCCAAACACGCTGCCAAATTCTTTACATTTATTATCTCTGTTAATTCTCATAACCCAACAAGGTAAGTAGTGTTATATTCCCCAGCTCTCAGAGAAAGGAACTGAAGAAGAGTTAAGCCATTTTCTCCAGGTAATACAGCCATTAAACATAAGAGCTGGAATTAGACCCAAGTGGCACGACCCAAGAATCTATCCTTTTCACAATTACATTGTATAGATTTCCCAAATCTTTCTCCTGCCCATATATTTAAAAGGTCTCTTTTAACATATAATAAATTGTATT